TCCTCCTCCTCCTCCTCCTCCTCCTCCTCCTCCTCCTCCTCCTCCTCCTCCTCCTCCTCCTCCTTCCTCTCCTACCTAATTATGGTAGTGGTGGTCGAGAATCGGCCCGTCATCCTCAGCGCCGTGACACAAGCCACGACGGGAGGCAGTCGGCGATGCTCGGCCCCCGGGGGCCCCCGCCGGGCTTCGGCGACCGTCCAAAACGACGACTCGGGCTGGAGAGCCGATCCCCGGGGGAAGGGCTCTCCAGGCCTCTCGGGAGCCACGCCGCGAACAGCTCGCGACGCCGAAGGTCTGAGACAGCCGCGGTCTCCTCCGTCTCCGGACTCGATGCATGTACGGCGGAGGTTTTAGATGAGGATGCCTCCGATGAGGAGCCCAGGGTCTCGCGACCGATGGGCGGCAAAACGTGGGCCACCCACCCCGCCTTGGAACAGCAAGGGATGCGCCAAGGTCTGGGCCCAGCGGAGGCGTTCCTTCTCCAATGCCGCCGCCGTGCGGTCGAAGCAGAGCCAGAACCGCGCGATTCGAGAGCGCGAGCCCCCTCGCCGAGGGCCCGAGGCACAGCGGGGAGACCTCGGGCGGAGGACGTGTGCCAGGGCGGAGGGGCCAAGACACGGGGAGCAGAGGCGAAACCCCCCAGAAGCGACGGCTGCTCTTGACCCTCGTGCCAGCTGCATACAGGTCCACTTTCGTCTTTGTCCATTCCCCCCTCCTCCACTTCATGTTGCGCCCGTCGTACTCAAGGACCACATCCCAGAAATAATTTCGAGCACCTGGGAAAGTGTCGAAGGAGTGTCGAAAGAGTGCGGGACGAGTGTCTCTCCCAGGGCCCGACACGTGAAAGCCCTCAAATTTCGGTATTTTTTGGGTACTCAAAGTTTTTCTGGTGGTCAAGGCTAAAGTCGGTTGGAACATCCTAATTCTCCACCTCCTCCTCGGACTGCTTTCCTCCTTTCTGGGAAGGGGTGCGATGGCGAGGAGTGAGGTGATCTGCCGGCCTTTCGCGGCAGTCGAGCAGCTCCACGGCAGATGGACGTCGTGTCGACGCGGGCGTCGGTTTCCGAGACTGCGTGGCTCGGTCAACACCCAGGACCAGCGCGGCTCTCCAACAGCACAGACCGTCGGACATTTGTCAATTCCGGGCCACTGGCGACATTCTTCGGTGGGTGGACTAAAAATGCCTACACGTGTCTCGCCAAGACCTCGAGTCATTCGAGCACGTCGAGCCAACGTCTATACCACCCTTCCCCTAGATTCCCAAAGCTGACGGGTGTAGGCGGTAGGTCAAAGGCCAGGGACAAGATGTGGACACTTCAACTTTGGGTTTTGGGGGGAGGGGTGTGAAACAACGGCATTTCGGAAGCGTGGTTGTTACCATGCTGCGTCGCCTTCCCGCCATGGGTGCGGACACTTTTGTCCGGGCACCGTTCGCCCGCCTCAACGCGGGCGGGTACGGGCACCAACTCCCCCCATTCGGCAATCAGCCCGCCTCCCCCCCCCCCGACAACCGCATCACGAGCTCCTTCAGCGACCGCGTCTCCCACTGAAGTATGGCCACGTCCAGCTGCATCGCCTCATCCTCCAACTTCTCCTCCTCCTCCTCCTCCTCCTCCTCCTCGTCCTCCTCCTCCTCCTCGCTCTTCTTCCTCCACCTCGTCCATCCTCCTCCTCCTCCTCCTCCTCCTCCTCCTCCTCATCCTCCTCTCTCCTCTTTCCCGCTTCTCGGGCCACGCCGGTTACGCCCAGCGTTCCCCCAATCCTCCTCCTCCTCCTCCTCCTCCTCCTCCTCCTCCTCCCCGTCCTCCTCCTCCTCCTCATTCTCCTCCTCCTTCTCTTCTTCATCCTCCCCCTTCTGCACACTTGCACATTATTATGAATAATAGTCGCCTCTCTACCCTGACGCTGCCCAGTAGATGTCCCGCCCTCTCCACGTATTCATTTTCTACACCGGATTCCGGGCGTTGGTATTTCAATTTGTGCTTGTCCAATCGGATCCTGCTCGGTCCTTCAATATGGTACCGCCGATGCAGCGCTGGCCTCATTTCCGCGCTTCCCGTCCTTCAAAACCGTGCTCCCGCTGCAGCGTTGGTCTCATTTCCGCGTCTTCAGTCCGTCAATAGGTGCCTACCACTGCAGCAACGGCGTTATGTTCAAATTGTCGGTACTCCAACATGGTTTTCTGTCTGCACCGTACACGCAACTTTGGTATGCAATTCAATGGACAGTTATGTACGCTATTATGCGATTACATGCCTTGCTCTGTAATGATGTGGTGAGCAATGCCGGGGTACGCAGTGCCATACTATGCTATGACTGTGCCATGGCATGCCATGTCATGCTATGTTCTGTTCCGCTATATGATACCATGCCTTGCGCTCCTATGCTATGACATGCAATGCTTGACTACGCAATGCCACAACACGGTATACCATGCCACCCTCTGCCGTGCTCTCCTACGCCATGCCTAGATTGTCCTCCTCCTCCTCCTCCTCCTCCTCCAGCTCCTCCTCCTCCAGCTCCTCCTCCTCCTACTCCTCCTCCTCCTCTTCACCCTTTTTCCTCATATTCCCCTCCCGCCTTCATCCAAATCCTGGCCTCTGATCTTCCTGCTTGTTCTCATTTTCCTTCTCCATAGATGCCCCCTCCCTGTCGCATCCCCTAGACCTGTCGGTGGGGGCGGGTCGGCTGCTTCGCCTGAGACCTCCCCACCATCTATGATTACGAAGCTTGAAACTTGCAACAGCCACATGGAGGTAGGCGAATAGTTTTCAGCATGGGGAAATTGCATAATGCATATGATCGAAGATCAAAAGCGGGTGTTGCACGAGATGGCGCAGCGACCTCACGCGGCGGCTTACGCAGCGAGGCGAGGGCGCTTTCGCGCGACCTCACGCGGGCGACTTGCGCGCAGATGTCGGTGCGGATGACTCCGTGCCTGTGCGTCGTCCACAATGAAGAAAAATCAGCGGCAGCTTCAAGGATGCAGGGGGGTCGGTCGGCTTTGAAAGAGGGCCATCGCCGTCGCCTCTGCGTGCCTGCGTCTTGGAAAGTTAAGGAGGGGTGAGCCCCCGCCTGAGCGCGGCGCCCATTCGCCTTACAATTGTGGCAGCAGCTTCAGGAACGAAGAGTGACTCCCTCTTGAAGTGGGGCTCTCGCACTCGATGCCGCGCGTACGTGCCACGACAGCCTGCGGCATTTTGCAGAGATGGCGAGCGGCTCCGTCGCAAAGTGAGGTTGTCGCACGGTGCCTCCGTTGAGCTTGCACACCAAAGCCTGATCCGGTGGAACAGCTCCACGGAAGGAAGGTGATTCTTGTGGATGCCTTGACCATGGACACTCTAACAGTCCTATCATTGAATTAAGCTTATGTTTGAAATGTGTAAAACATGGCCTAAACACGTTTCAAACATGTTTTACATGTTTCAAACAAGTTTGAAACATGTGTTAGACATCTGGAAATTATTTGGCAGCATGCTTTCTCTCCATTAACCGACTCCCACAAGGTGATTCCTTCTAGCAAAGGGGCTTCGCATGAGAGTTCCTCGCCTGCCATGCCCACAATTGGAACGTGCTGTTGATCTGTACGGCCATCTGTTGAACTCCTTACGGTTCCCCAGAAAGGATTCAGAACAGTTCCGTTAAAAAACGAAGCTCTCGCCTGAAACAGGCCCATGGGGTGATGGTTTTTCAAGGGACGCCTCCTCTAGCGAAAAGGAAGGCATGCCAGGTCCTATGGTAAGGGGGTTCGGGGCGGGGTGGTGCAGTGAAGCATCATTGATGCATCTTGCGTTAGCTCTGGTCTTGCTCCACCTCATGCTTTACGCCCCTCCAGCTGCATCGCCTCCCCGCGAAGGCTCGTGCACCCGACCATGAACTCCTGCTTGTCGATCGCTCCCGACTTGTCGGTGTCGATCAGGTTAAACAGCTTCTTCACCTCTCCTCCTCCTCCTCCTACCCCTCCTCCTCCTTAACCTCCTCCTCCTCCTCCATTCCCTCTTCTTCCTCCACCATGTTCCCTAATCCTGCCCCCCTCCTCCACAACCTGCTTCACGTCCATCTTCAGGGCCTGCAAGAACGCGATAACTTTGGGCGCCTTGATCTTCTCCCGCAGCTCCGAGAGGCTGATTTGGCCAGAGCGGTCGTTGTCGATCTCATCGAAGAGCTGCTCCATTGTGTTCATAAACTCCTGCTGGTCGCGAATCCTCCTTTTCATGCTCCTGCTCCCGCTCATCCTCCTCTCACGGCTACCCAAAGGCGACCCTTCGTCGCACATCGGCAGAATCGCTTGCGTAGTCAAACAGATCCAGCCGAAACCCCATGAGTGGAGAAGGGAGTCCCACCTGGAGGTGCGCAAGGGAATCGACTGGTGTCACTCGGCCACATCGACACGCATCATCGAAGCAATCGAGCAATGCATAATCCTGGTTCCTCCCCCATGGAGTCCTTCTGACCGTGAATTTGAGTTTGCACAACGTACTCTCTGTCATTCTTGGACCTCTGCAAGATACTGTCAATGAAGATCCGCCACCGTGCTTGCACGAAGGTAGATTCTTAGAGTGCGCCGTAGCTGTCTAGTAGGAATTCGGTGGTAGCTTTTCTGGGGCCGACCCCCACCGGCACACACGCTCTGTCCACGAAATCGCCCCCCTGGTTTGGAACTCCGGCGCCCCGTTCCAACCTCGGGGCGGATCCAAGACATCGCCAAGCCGGCTTCAACATGCCCGAATACCAGCCTAAGTCAACCCAGCGACCCTACTGAGGTGTGTACCCACATGGGCGTGGGGACCTCACACGGGCCTCGCTGGCGCAATGGGCGAACCCCCTTTGGGGCACGATTCGCATGGAGGTTGCACCGCAGTGCGCGGTGACCGCATGCGGGCACCCTCACTAGTGCCGTGGTTGGAGCTGCGTATGGGGAACGATCCGTGTGACTAACGTGGGCGTGGGGACTGCATGCGGGCGCCCTCACGTACGGGCATGCGCTTGGAGACCGCGTGGGGGCGTCCTCACAGGTAGCGCAGGTGGCACTCCCTATGGAGCACGACCCGTGTGAGAGGTGTACCCAATCCAACAGCACAGGAGGGCTGGTAACGAGAACAGAAAGCTTCGGCGGGGAAGGATCGTAGGGAGGGAGGTAAGGAGGAATGGAGGGAGGACTTGAGACGCTGCAGATTGAAAGCGATGACTCAACCACACTTTGCTTCCAGTACTTTTCAGATTCAGATCGCCTCAATGAGATTTCAAAGGAGCCCGAGGGCCCCAACACGGCCGCAAGACTGCCTAAGAACGCCCCAAGACGGCCCAAGACAGCACCAAGAGGGCTCCGCGACGACCACCAATGACCCGCCCAGACTTCCCCAAAGTGGGTTCAACCGAGCCACTTCGGGAGAGCATGGCAACAACATCGCGCCTAAGACGGGCCCGAGACCTATGAGGGCCAGCACCCTTCAAGAGGGGGAGGGAGCTGGGGGAGATGAGAGGGAGGAAGGAGGAGAACGAGGCTGCGGACAAGGATGGGGTGCTTAAAACCCGCGCCAACTCAGATAGGGCATGGAACTGGAGCGGGTCCCAAACTCAGCCACCTCCCTGATGTGCTGCTGGGCTGGCACGGTAAGGAGGTTTGCCGCAAGCAGCTGTCTTGCGCTTACCACGTTGAGCATGGCGAACATCGCGAACGCAATGAACGCATAGAAGAGTAAGGTGTACACTATAGACAAAGGTTCAAGCGGAATCACGACAATCTCCCAATCAACGCCACCCGCGATTGCCATGAAAAGGGTACGCACCGAACGGAACAACGATCCATATCGCTCCTCCAGCTCACCTGTCAAAGCATTGTCAACCAGTCCGTGGTCAAGCATGTGTGAGGCAGTAGCGTTGGTGAAAACGGTCGCGACGACTAACAGGAATACACACAGGATAACGATGAAGCTCATCAGCGGAACGATCGACTCCCTCAAAGAAACAGCCATGATGCGCATGTCGCGGAAGACGATCAAGTGCCGCAAAGTTCTTACCACCTTGGTCAAACGGATCAGCCTAGAGATGCGCAACACGGCTGACTGGACCCACAATACGTTGCCTTCTGAGCCTGAACACTCGGACGCGATCGTGGCGAAAGCCTCTACAATGGCGCCCAGCACCACCAAAGTGTCGAACAAGTTCCACCTCCAGCACGGCGAGAACAAAAACCGCTCACGCTCGGCGAACAGCCGCATAGACAGGTCGACAGCGAAGACGACGCAGAAAAAATACATTGGCGCGTCGAAAGCCTTGTTTCTAAGCTGGACGCCCCTGCTGGCGCGATCAGCGGTGATATCTGTCTCCCACGCGATGATCAGCGCGTTGAGAGAAATAAGCACCGACACTAGAGACTCATACTTCCAATCAGATGTAATCGCTGACAGCTTCTTCTGCCACTTGTTCAGTGGCCGTCTTGAGAGATCGCGCGTCTTCGCCCACATGTGCCTGGTCTGGGACCTCTTCACGACGTCCGTGCACATGCCTTTCATGACCGAGTCGGCATCCGAAGAGTGAGTGCTCCTCCTGTAGGCGACCGTCGTCCCACCCCGCAACTCACCCCACCCTCCCCTTTCCCAATCCAGTCCTGGTCCCCACAGGGGTGAAGGGGGATGGGAAGGGTGGGCGACATCCAGCGCAACGACGGCGTCCGATCCTGGAGAAGCGCTGCGGCGGAGCCATGGCCGAGGCGGCGGCCGAAGTGTTGCTCCCGAGGTGCCTCGCCACGGAGCTCTGCTCCCCGGCGGCCGAAGTGCTGCTCCCGAGATGCCTCGTCGCGGAGCTCTCCGCCCCGTCGACCCTGAGATCGGAGCTCCCGGCCACCTGCCTCGCGCACCACGCTGGCTCCTCGGGAGGCCGCGGCGGGGGCACGCAGAGCGTCGGCGCGCCGGGCGTGGACGGCTTCGGCGCCGGGGCGCTGCCGCCGCTGCCGTCGCTGCACAGCGAGGGGCGTCGCGAGACCTCCCGGAACGAGAAGCGCAGGGGCGCGGCGAGCCCCTGCGGCCCGGGGGGGGCCAGCCGCGAGGCGCGCCCCGCGCCGCCCGCGCCGGCGCTCGGCGGGGGCCCGTGCCCCCGGCCCAGGAGCAGGCGCAGCCTGCCGTGCAGCTCCTGCCGGTGCCGCTGCACCATCGCGTCGATGTCCGCGAGGGCGGCCTCGGCCAGCGGCTCGCTGGGCTCCAGCCGGCCCTGCGACGCCGAGTAGATCGAGTCTTGGGACCTGTTCACGGGCGACGAACGGTATAAAATAAACTTTTTCGCTGTCGGGGGCGCCTGTCCATGGGCGGCTGGAAAGTTTATACCCTTACGGTGGTACCGTAAGGGTATAAACTTTCCAGCCGCCCTTGGACAGGCGCCCCCGACAGCGAAAAAGTTTATTTTATACCGTTCGTCGCCCGTTTAACCTGGGCGAGCGCGGGCTGGCGGGGAAGGGGGGCGCCGGCGCCGCCAGCGGCGGAGGCGGGGCGAAGCCGCGAGCGTGGAGCGCGGCGTGGCTCAGCCCCTCCGCAGGCGCGCCGCCGTCGGCGCCCGGCGGAGCTGCCACGTGGCCCGCCCGGCTCGCCGGCAGCATCGGTCGAAGCGGAATCGACCTGCCCGACTGACGCTTCGGCCAAAATGGCTCAGGCGATGCCGTGTGCAGCAGGACGCGGAAAAAACATGAATTATCCCGGCAAAACAACCTAACAGCGATGTGTATAAGCATATCTGGAAGCATTCCCCTAAAGATTCAGGTGAGAATCCAGTTGTAGAATTCTGCTGTTCTCGCAGTCGCATTCGCAATGACAGTCGCAGTGGCAACGGCCTTAGGATCCAATGGAATCCTGCATCCTTAGGCATCCTTAGGAATCCATAGGAATCCTTAGGAAACCTGAGGAATCCTGATTCCTAGGGATTCCTAGGGAGTCCTAAGGGATCCTAGGGAATCCTAAGGATTCCGAAGGATTTGCCTGCCTCGGCCTCAGCCTCAGCCTGCCTCAGCCTCAGCCTGCCTCAGCCTCAGCCTCAGCCTGTCTCAGCCCCAGCCTGCCTCAGCCTCAGCCTCAGCCTCAGCCTCAGCCTCAGCCTCAGCCTGCCTCGGCTTGCCTCGGCCTCAGCCTCAGCCTGCCTCGGCCTCAGCCTGCATCAGCCTCAGCCTCAGCCTGCCTCAGCCTCAGCATGCATCAGCCTCAGCCTCAGCCTGCCTCAGCCGCAGCTTGCCTCAGCCTCAGCCACAGCCTCAGCCTCAGCCTCAGCCTGCCTCAGCTTCAGCCTCAGCCTCAGCCTGCCTCGGCTTGCCTCAGCCTCAGCCTCAGCCTCAGCCTCAGCCCTCAGCCTCAGCCAGCCTCAGCCTCAGCCTCAGCCTCAGCCTGCCTCAGCCTCAGCCTGCCTCAGCCTCAGCCTGCATCAGCCTCAGCATCAGCCTGCCTCAGCCGCAGCTTGCCTCAGCCTCAGCCACGGCCTCAGCCTCAGCCTGCCTCAGCTCAGCCTAAGCCTCAGCCTGCCTCGCCTCAGCCTCAGCCTCAGCCTGCTTCAGCCTCAGCCTCAGCCTGCCTCAGCCTCAGCCTCGGCTTGCCTCAGCCTCAGCCTCAGCCTCAGCCTCAGCCTGCAGCCTCAGCCTCAGCCTCTCAGCCTCAGCCTGCCTCAGCCTCAGCCTCAGCCTCAGCCTGCCTCAGCCTCAGTCTCAGCCTGCCTCAGCCTCAGCCTGCCTCAGCCTCAGCCTCAGCCTCAGCCTGCCTCGGCCTCAGCCTGCGTCAGCCTCAGCCTCAGCCTGCCTCAGCCTCAGCCTCAGCCTCAGCCTCAGCCTCAGCCTGCCTCAGCCTCAGCCTCAGCCTGCCTCGGCGTGCCTCAGCCTCAGCCTCAACCTGCCTCGGTCTCACCCTGCCTCGGCCTTAGCCTGCCTCAGCTCGGGCATTCAAAATATTGCACAGGATTGGTGTTCTGGGAACACGAAGATCACGAAGTGGCCCACAATTGGCTCGGGGCAAGGAGAATATGGTACAGGAATGGTGCTTCGGGAACACGAAGAACACGAAGTGGCCTACAGTTGGCTGCGGGCATTCAAAATGTGCCTCGGAATGTTGTTCCGGGAACACGAAGAACACGAAGTGGCCTACAGTTGGCTCCGGGTATTTTAAATGTGGCCTGGGAGTGGTGTTCTGGGAACACGAAGAACACGAAGTGGCCTACAGTTGGCTCCAGGCATTCAAAATGTGGCCTGGGAACGGTATTCTGGGAACATGAAGAACACGAAATGGCCTACAGTTGGCTCCGGGCATTTAAAATGTGGCCCGGGAATGGCGTTCTGGGAATTGATTCCTAAAGATTCCCAAGAATTCCTAAGGATTCCTGGGGCTACCGGATCTGTCCGGATCTGTCCGGATCCCGCCCAGACCCCCTCTGGGGCGTCAAGATGCTTTCTTTTGAGCCCACTAGAAACCTATCAGCAAAAGCTGTTAGGTAATGACAGTACCAGAAAAAATTGTCGACGGCGCAAAGCTCGGGGAGACGTACGACTCGGGTTCGGGTGACTCGGGTTGGCCTGACGGGGCCATCATGAAAACGACGGGACCAACTCTGAACTTTGACGCGAGCCCCCGCCGCAAACATCCCACGACAACTGGACCGCCAAAATCCAGGACGCGCTCGTCAGAAAAGCGTCGGCACACCCGAGTTTCGGCGTGCTCGAGTCTCACGTTTCCCCGAAAAGACATCCGAAAAATAAACAAGTCGAGCGACTCAAATGTTCTGGGCGCTTCCGCTTAAGTTGACTCCAAGACAGCCCCCAGACGGAATGCTATAGTTAGGTCGGGCATGCCCCCCTACAGGCGGATTTCGGGCAAAACCTTAAAACTTGTAAAACCAGAAATTCAAGAATAGCCCAAAATTGCAGCAACAATAACAACAACAACAACAACAACAACAACAACAACAACCATTTTAAGGCTGTACGCTCTTACTTGCCCGCGAGTCATTCAACACGTATACCCTACACCCTCGATACCCGCCCTCTTCGTCTTCGATCACACCCCTTTCGGGGGGATTATTTCTCTTTGCTGGGGCCGGCGGGCTTAGACGTACGGGCAAACCGGAACGGGCGGACAATCCTTCGGGGGCGTACATCTCTCTGCCCGCCATTGGAATTGGCGCGGGCCCTGCAAGAGGAGGAGGGGAAGAACGAGGGAGAGTGGGAGGAAGGGGAGGGGGAAGGACGAAGGAAGAGGGAAGATACCACGTTGTGAAGGCGTCCTTGGCGCGTGCGTGGTTCCTGAGCGCCGAAACGCAATTCCAGAATAATTTGTGAGGACGTCGCACGCGAGAGCGCAGTCCTGAGTACATTGTGAGGAAATCTCGGGCGGAAGCGGGGGCCCTGACTAAGTTGCGAGGAAGTCTCAAGCGGGGGCGCCGTTCCTGAGCAAATTGCACGGAAGTCTCAGGCGGGAGCGGGGGTCCTCACTAAATTGCGAGGAAGTCTCAGGCGGGAGCGCCGTTCATGAGTCAATTGCGCGGAAATGTAAGGCAGGAGCGGGGGTCCTGAGTAAAATTCGAAGAAGTCTCAAGCGGGAGCGCCCGTCCCACGTAAATTGCATGGAAGTCTCAGGCGGGAGCGGGGGTCTTGATTACATTGCGAGGAAGTCTCAGACGGGAGCGCCTTTCCTTAGTAAATTGCGCGAAAGTCTCAGGCGGGAGCGGGGGTCCTTAGTAAAAATCGAGGAAGTCTCAGGCGGGAGCCGTTGTTGTTGTAGCCCGGGGGGCAGGCGCACAGTTTGAGCAGGAAGACTTTCCTTAAGAAAAACAAGGTGCGAGCCCCGGGGGTGGCACTTCAATCGAAAAAAATCAATGTGCACCGGTGGGGGGGGATCAACAATAATTATTCTTCAAGAATGAGAGTTCAACAACAACAACAACAACAACAACAACAACAACAACAACAACAACAACAACAACAACAACAGCAGCAGCAGCAGCAGCAGCAGCAACAACAACAACCAAAATCGTTCCCAGACTATTTGTTTACTATCCTTGAATATTCCTCCTGCAGAAGGACCGGCCCGACTTACTGCTGTAGGCCGGAAGGGACGGTCGACGAGCTGCCCCGTGTCAGGCGCCCCCGCGCTGCCAGCATGAGAAGCAGACGCCCGGAGACGCCCTGGCACCGCCCTACTCTTTTGTTGTTGGGGACGGGGGGAAGGGGCAGGTCAGGGAGCTCGCAAAAAGCATCACACCTCTCCACTCCGCCTGCCCGTCGCAAGCAGCCCCGCTCCGCCTGCCAGGCCCTGCGCAGAACCCTGGACACGCACAGCGAGGGAAATGCATGTGTGGCGGAACTGGTGCATCGGTGCAAGACCATTTGCGCGAGGAGGGAACTAGAAACGACCCCCGACTCGCTCAAGATCAACCAGAGACAGCTCCGAGACGGCCCACCCAGAGACAAGCCCTGAAAGAGCGCCCGGACGACCCAGGCAGGCCCACCAGGGCGCCCGCCCGAGAGGGAACCCAAAGGCCCCAAGGGGCCCAGGAGGGGGCGCCCGAGTGCGTGCTGCTTTTCCCAACAAGCCTTCGTTGGGCCCTCGATTCGAAGATACAGCGCCCCGCGTCCTCCTGCCTTCCTCCTTCCCCTCCTCCCTCCTCCCCATCCCTGCCTCTGCTCTCCGCCTGTCCACTTCTGCACGCCCCGCACGCGCTCACGCGCTTCGTGGCCCCATAGGGAGCTCCAACAAAATCCCCAAGAGGTGTTACCGCATCACGTCCCCCAGCCCGTGTCGGCACACCCCTCGCACGCTGGGTGGCCCCATAGGGAACTCCGCCGAAGCACGCAGGGGGTGATACCGCATAACGTTCCCCAACCCATTTCGGCATACCCCTGACACTTTCCGTGGCCTGGTGGGGAGCTCCACCGAACGCCCCCAAGGGGGTGGCACCGCATAGTCCCCCAGCTCATGTCGGCACACCCCTGACACGTTTCGTGGCCCCTTTGGGAGCTCCACCAACGGGCCCCAAGTTTGCGCATCCACATGCAACTCCCCGCCCATTGCGGCGCACCTCGGATACGTGATTTTGCCCCGTAGGGAGTTCCACCTCTCAGGGGCCCCAGTGGGTGCGACAAAGGCGGTTCCATGGGATTCCGGCGCAACTTTCACACGATTTGCCCTTAGTGGGTGCGTCCACATGCGGCTCCCCGCCCATGTCGGCGCACCACCCCCCGACACGCACTCACACACACACACACAGACATTCAAACACACACACATACACACACAAACACACAGGCATCGTTGTCCCAGAGGGAGAAGCCCCTTCCTCGTCCAGCCTGCCTTGCGGTCCTCGCATTCGCGTGTGGTTGGGCCCTTCGCCAGGATAATTTGTCTGCAGTTTGGGCTCCTGGGTATGTACTGCCTCTATAACAACCAAAGACTAACCGAAGAAGGCGTCAATAGAGCCCAATAACAACTAGAAGCGAACAGCGACAGCCACGGGCCGGGGCCCAAACAGCCCAAAACCAGCCGCAAGTGGCGCGAGCATGCCAGAATCTTATCAAATTAATCCCCAGGCGATCCAGCATGGCTCCAGGACGACCTGAAAATTTCCAAGATG